CTCAAGTATACTCACTATTTTCTTACACATTCATTACCCTAATTTCTTACACTCCATGATATCATCTACCACTCAAAGCTCACAGTGGAGCTAATAATAGTTTAGTCAGTAGTCACCGCATGGTATGGTATTTTTTTGGCGTTCATGAACGCCAGAGTTGAAAACAACATGGGTTGTTCTGTTATTCGAGAAGTGACATCCCTGTGGATAATATGACGTATAATTTCAAAAATGGGACACATGGCTTGAAATCCAACATCATGCTCTTTTTATTAATCACAAACCCTCAACTGCTTGTGAAGCCTTGACTTGTGACATAACCTTTCCGCCAACACCACGATACGCTGATGCATGAATGATATTGAGGATTTCTTGGGACGTTAAGGCCAATGTTGTTGTTCTGTAGATGTCTGAACTTAATATAGAGAAGAGCAAGTAGTCGAGTGTAAATAGGTAGTTTTTTTGAGTCAAACTCTGCTTGGCAGTCGAAATCTCTCATCGAGTTGGAGAAGCTCCATTGCCGTATATTATGCGCTACCCCATTGCCAACAGACACACACATGCGACCTTTTATGGACTCAAAACTTTGGCCACAATTTGGGCTAATTACTGGTTTCTGTTTCCATCTGAGATAGCTGCATAGTGGGGTGTTGTGTTGTCACTGTAATCCTGGTGCCCCCAGTCTTACGCACGGACCCTTTAGTTTTATGTGATTACATAATCACCGTGTTGTACGATATAAGTAGCCGGGAAGTTTTCAGGACCTTAGATCTTACCGTACGCTGCACTTGCCTGTATCTTGTTCTGCTCTGGACAATACACCGTGGTCCTGTCAACTTGTGTGACTGCTAGTGATCCCAATTGACGACGGGATTACACTTTTTTTTTGACACCGGCCATTTGTTATTTCTCATCCAGCACTTTGTTGTGTTTGGCCCTCCAGACCCTTGGCTCTTTCATTCCACTGGATCTCATTCATTCCTTCCAAAAGAAACCAACTTCTTACCTTCCTGGTCGAACCTGATCTGCATCACCACCGTTCACTCGTCAGACCGCTCGTTCACATTCCCTAGGGCTCCACACTCCCTTGTCCCGTACACATCTCACAACCTCGCGTATACGTGCCGCCGCACACCCTTGCAAGTGCTCCCTGTGCAAATACGCACCGCCGCACACCCTCGCACGTGCACACATCCGCGTCACCGCACCGCTGCGCACCCTGCACACGTATGCGCCCCCGTGCACGCCGCCGCACCGTCGTCGAGCGCCCCCACACGTACGCATGCATGCACACACATCCACGCCACCACGCACCCTTGCACACTGCACACGTACGCGCACACGCACACCCATCCACACTGCCGCGCACCCTTGCATACTGCACATGTACAGGCGCCCCCGCATGCCCCACACCGTAGTCGAGCACCTGCTTTTTGGAGAAATGTTTTATGTGAAGAATTGACGATTAGAAGCCATTATTTTGGATCCCCTTGTTTTTTTTTGTTTGTTTTTTTTAGTGCCGTATCAATTTCCATCGCTGCCGTGTGTTTTTTTGGTCGGGATACAGACTCCGCCGCCTGAAGCTCCGCATTAACAGAGGAGGTCCAGCAGGGTTGAATCTGGGGTGGTGGGTTGGTTTTTGTGTGGGGAGGGGTGTAATCCTGGTGCCCCCAGTCTTACGCACGGACCCTTTAGTTTTACGTGATTACATAATCACCGTGTTGTACGGTATAAGTAGCCGGGAAGTTTTCAGGACCTTAGATCTTACCGTACACTGCACTTGCCTGTATCTTGTTCTGCTCTGGACAATACACCGTGGTCCTGTCAACTTGTGTGACCGCTAGTGATCCCAATTGACGAGAGGATTACAGTCACCATGATAACCCTTCGAATAAATAAATAAAATTATATAAACTCAATATATTCATACCAACTGAAGACGACTCTGAGCTGAAGGATAAGTAATTCAAGAAAGCAGCACACAATCAGAAGCCTGAAAGATGGGAACAATAGTGGAGAGGGTAGGATAAACGGTTCATGCGTCCAAAGGCACACACATTCATCCTTTTCTTCATAACACTCAGTCGAGATCTCAAAAGTACTTCTCGGTCTCAATATCTTGAGTACCCTCTCTCACCACCCCCACAATCTAACCTCTACACTTAAGCCCCTGGGGTGACAGCCTGCGTGGCTACCTCCTTGCTATGTCATCCAAGGAGATCGCACCAAGGTTTTTTTTTGCACCTGCCTTCAATGACGGCACTGGACGGCCCGAGTGTGCTCACGTCGCTTCTTACACAGCTCACGTACTGCGCGACGTTGTTTGCGCGGGTTGGGCTGGATTTTATGAGCATCCTTGAGCAGCCGTTTACTGAGGCAGTGCTTTTGAATGCCATCAAGTTGTTTGAGAGTGCGGCGAGGGAGTTTATGGTCCAGATGGTTAGGAATACTGCGAAGAGTGTGTCGACATTGTTTGTTACGCCGGGGTTACTTTCGTCGCTTTTGCAGACTAAGACTACCGTGCCGGATTTGGATCAGTCTTCGCCAGTACACATCGCACCCGGCATCATTTCATCCTATCCATTAGCAAGGTGACCATAGCAACGCATGGTCACCAGCGTCCACCAGAGCGCCGCTGGGCAGACCACCACCTTATCAATCGCCGCAATCAGTTGTCTCCGAAGATTGAACTTTGTCAGCTAGAGTAGAGGGTGGCTAGGAGAAACGGACTGTAACGGTTTCAAGCCGACGAAAGCTCTCATCAGGGGGATACCGCTACCCCTACCGTTTTGTCCTTCCAGAGTTACTGTTTAGGAGTCTACTACTGAGCCTGGTCCAAAGGGAGTGAGTGATAAGATAATGAATTCGTGCCGACCTTTGCGCGCAACGAAATTCCAAGAATCTTGAGACCCAATGGTGGGTAGTATACGGTTGGGCGGTACACCTGTCAGGAGGTAGAGGCTTTAACCCGTGATCACCAATCACCTAAGCTGACGTAGGTCGTGCTGCGAGGTAGCAGGTTTCCCTGCTGGCTCGTCTGTCGACGTCCATGCAGCAAGACGATGGTGGAGTTACTTGCGACTTATATGAGTTCGATCCTCACGGCGCTCAACTCACTTCGGTTACTGGCACCGATATCGTTGTACTCGCAGTTGTGTCGTGCTTTGGAGATGTTGCTGGTGAAAGTGGGACATGGGCCTTTGTCAACGTATTAAAACGAGTAAAGGTGACGCAAAGAAAGGAACGGCTGATATCCAAGCGTTCGAGATGTGTCTTGAACCTTCCAAACGGATTCAACAGGAATCGCCTGATGCAAACATAGTCCAAACACACCTGTAAGAACTTCTCGTTCTGGGACGCCTGCGCAACCACCTCAGCTGTCTATCACAAAAGATCGGTCGCTAAGAGGACATTGTCGTTACTTAAGATTCGTCACTCAGCTGGTGACAACGTTGCAGCGCGCAAAAGAATGAAGTGCGAGAGAGTCTGTCTGCATCTGCTTGTGACTGAACCCCATAAAGTGTTTTCTGTTTTAAAGATCAAGAAAGGCTTCGCAGGTCATTTATGGAGAAGTGGTGTTTGGCATACTGTTTGTTGACGACGTACGAAGATAACGTTTTTTTGGAAGAAGGACGTTAAAAATCTTCTCTTCTATCGTTCCCGTACTACTAGATGTACCGGTATAAAAGCGTTCAGGAAGGTAGTGAATGAGGAGCCGATTCTAGGACAACACAGCTTCAAGAGCATTCCTTCTTCTGGCCGTTACGCCAGCCATATTAGATTCTGTTGATCTTCGGCAGGATTCCAATGCAGGAGATAGCATCGAAACAAAAATTGTACCACGAACAATCCTGCCATCCAGCGGGATCTTTATTGTTGTTCTTCAGTGGCTTAGCTTAATTCATGCTCTCCCAACGAATTGACATCAGAATAACGGTTGCGGGCTGCCTTGGACTCTACAGCGGTATACTATTGTCGTTCGTTGATCAAATGTGATTCTAGCCACGACTAGCGCTCGCCAATAATATTCACACCATGTATGGCGTTGACGGCTGGAGCTGCAGAGCACGCGGCGATGGTGAAAGTCTCTGTATGCGCTCTTAACTTAGCATAATATATTGTAGCTTCATACAACTTGCAAATTTGGGTACAAAGCGAGGTAGGTAAAGAGTAATCGTATTGTCCTCCTCCTGGTTTCAGTTTTGTTAGTATTATACAAGATAAATGATTAGAACTCGTGTCGAATTAAAAATTTTCAAGCCAATCGCATTTCTTCAGAACTGATACCACATTTGAATTAGACACTAACGATACACCAGTGAAATGTGTGGCGATCACAGACAAAATAGAATGGGTGGTGAGAACTAGATCTTGACAGCACCTCATAGTTACATCCTTGATGGTGTTGAAATAAAATATAGAAGCTCCGAATGAACTATAAGAGCAGTGTATAAATTCCGTTTGTGCGTATATCTTGTAGTAAGATTAGGCAAACGCATAAGTAAATACATGAACACTAGGCTACTTATATATGTCTGCTAAACAATAGAATATCAAATGGGGCAACAAAAAGGGATTGAACAATGGGAGTAAAGAAACAAAGAACAAAGAACAAAAGGAATATGTGTTACGAACTTATGTAACGCTCGTATTCCAACAGATGGAGCCGGAGATCGCGTCACAATGTGGAAGTAGATGAACAAGAATGGCCATGGTGTCGATGCTGCGCGCTGCGGTACACAAGAAAAAGGCTTTCTGAAGAGTGAATACATACCTTGCGCATGCGGATGCGAATGCATCCGAGCCAGTTGGTGGTTAATACGAGCCAGAGTGGCGTCTTTGAGACGGATAACAGGACCCCGGCGACACTGGACTCTATGCGTCGCCTAATTGGTATCTCAGCCATGAAAGAAAATAATAGTCAGCTACACGCGGGATTCCCTCTGAGTATGAGTGCGACTCAACAAGATGTGGCATTGTATGATAAAGGGAGGTGGCAGTGTTAGATTGTGTAATGGGTAACACCCCTGCTATATATGCAGTAGCCCTGGGTTCAATTCCCAGTCTGGCCATTCATTTTCTATACTTTTAACAGGCAGTCGGCACTTTGAAAGAGGAGGGGGCGAAAATGGCGACATCGGCGATCCAGGAGACTCCTCGTAGTCTAATGGGGGAGAGCAATGATAGGTAGAGTACAGTGAGCTTGGGACATCTTACCTGTAAACCGCTGTTGTGTGAATCGGCGTGGGGGTGCATACAGCTGTATCATTGTGGGGTCTTTGGCGAATAGGGAGATAGAGGGGGCTCTGGAGGTAGCGACGGCGACGCGGGTGTGGCTCTGTTTAGTGGTCAGGGTCAGCGATGAGAAGAATACATTAAATAGCACAAGTAGAATGGTACCTTGTAAACGAGCTGTCGACGCTTCGGCTAGACTCTCCGGAGAGTGATGGTGAGTATCACCAGACGACTCCCACATGACATGCATCCGGGGACCGCAACTCCACAAGCCCTACACGGCTCGATGCACTGAATCACTGAATCACCTTCTTCACAAAAGGGTTGCAAGGCCGCCTGTGAAAAAGATTAAAGTGTGAATATGCTACCGAAGAAAGCTAAACGCAAAAACACGCAGCGACGCACTCAACGTTGCACTGGACCTTGTCCGCACGACAACCAGCGCAGGCTCGTTTCACCCTCAAGACGAACAATATATATCACGTACCGGTATGTGGTTTCATCATGCTAATCGCTTTGCCTTGCCCAAGTGTAAACGTACTCCATGATTGTTTGCTCTGCCCTGTCCTTGGATTGAGATATCGGGGGGAGTTCTGTCATTACTATCGTGACATCCAACGGTTGCGTAGAGAATGTGAAGTGACATGATGACGGGAGGGTGAGCGAGCAATGTGCTGGTAAGCTAATGCTTCTCTTCCCGGCCAAGGTTTCTCATCTTTCCCCCCGTTATCCCCGATCGTCAAAAGATTTATGTCGCAAATTTAGACGTCCCGTTTTCAGTTATAAGCATTATTACTCTACAATTCAGTGATCTTCCTTTCGATGGTAGTTTAATTTCGACTCCTTTCTCCTTCAGAACATAACATGTGTATACCTTGGGGAGTTGAAAGAGATTGGCTTCATGTTGGTTACAAGGCAGTTTTCTGTCTGTCCTTTTCGTGTTCCAAAACAACCCTTTCAGTTGCTTGTCAACCTGAAGATGTAATGATTCCACCGCCGGTGCGGGCTATAGGAAACTGCTGATGTTTATACTGATTTGCCACAGGTGGAAAACAGTAGATGGAGGATGAAAAATGGAAGCTTAGTATGTAATCATGAAGTGATGGTAATTCGCTATACGAAGGAATTTTTCGCACTCGGCTGAGTACTCTTATCACGTTTCTGCCTTATCTGGTAGCTGCGAACCTAACCTCTCATTCCTAGTTCCATAAGTTATTGTGTTCTGAAGACACATACTGACTGGAGTTGCTTCTCATTGAGGGCTCGGAATGGGGCGTGGTGGGACTATTGATCGTAGAATATAGAGTTGGAATTGTGAGTACGATGTTGTTTATTGAAATCCATGGCACCAGGACCTCACACATTATACAGCAAGATGTGTGATCGACTTCTCTCTGTCCTTCATACCAGTCAATACCAACCACCTTCTTTGTGGGTGTACTATATTTCTTCTGTGCATGTCTCTGCCCGTTTCATGCGATCAAGTCTGCCAGGTGTTTGATAAATAAATAATTACAAAATTTTTTGCGCGATACTAATAATCTGAATACATAGGATAATTACTCGACATATGAACTGTGCCCAATGACGTTTTTATCGCATTTATCTCACTTCTTCTTCTTCGACTGTGATAGATGTTTTTCACTCCACTCACAGTATTTGACACATAACCCCCTTGCATTACTATGCACCAAGGCCTTCAACTCTCCCACCAGAGGTTTCCTCACACCCCTGTGTGGAATGAACCGGGAGTTCTCCTTCATGAAGTACGCTCTGAATAAATTTTCCTGTATAATTTGGATCTCTGACATCCTCGATCAAAGAATTTCCAATCCCGTGTACCGCCGCTCGGAAGGAAGTGACCTCGAGACTGTCCGTCGCATTGATGATGCGACATGACGAGCTTAATTCTCGCAGATTGAGAAAGAAGCGGCAAATGAGAAGGACGGATATGCTGAAGTTGCCATTGAGAAGTTAGGTGAAATGTCTGCGGTAAATACTTGCCAACTCTCCAAGGTTATGCCGAAATTTGTAAATAGGGCCTTATTAGATTTGAGATGAGTATGTGGTATTAAAATGACAGAGGATAAAAGATATTCACTGAGGTAAACTTGGAAGAGTATTAGTGTCAATGCAAAAGGGAAGGAGCAGTAGTCCCAAACCTTATTCGTAATCATGATCTGCAAACTCCATATAAAAATTACGCTAAAAAATCAAAATCAAAACTTCATCAACTAAACTCAGGTTAATTCAGTACTGACAGAAATCGGAGGACACCTGCAATTAATATGAACAGGGTCGTAAGAACATGTAGGCTCGATTGCTGGGGTAAATACCTTGTTGTACAATTAGATAGGTTACAGATCCCTTCCGCAATTCTTTAATATCTCTTAGTAGCCTAATCGTGCCGATAGTGTGGAATAAGGTGGTGAATAATATGAGCCCATCAAATATAATTGTCAATGCGCTTATTGCTGTGACTGTGATGGTCATATCAATTGGAGCTTTCCAGGCATATGAAATGGACTTCTGTACTCCTGTTTAATACTGTTATTAGTTACGTTGTTCTAGTGGATTGAAACGCACAGTTTTGTACTGATCGGTGAAATACAATCATCATGGGCTGCGATAAACTATCACGCTCATAAGTCTACCAATCCACAGACACAGTGCTAATGCGTAGACACACCACACGGCAGCAAATTTGGGCGATATATATCAACGATATCGGTGTTGAAATGTATTTCTTCTCTCTGCTTATGGCGTAAACCCTTGCCAGTAATATCCCTGCCATGCATGCATCCTTGGTTGAGTGATTTTGAGCAAGTAAATGCTAAATGGATTGATCACCATGTGCAGTAAGTGTCGATACAGTGTCCAGGGCTTGCACAGTCCGGAACATGGAATTACATTTCCTATGGCCAACCGGTAAACAACTCTTATGAGGATTCAGAAAGTCCCACGCACTATCAACTGCTATCAGTCGCTGGAGTATTTTCAGGCCCACCTCACCACGCACCTCTAACGATCTATCCGCCAAATCGAGGACCACAGAACATATACACATAATTATGGCTGAATATCGGGCAACGATATACACCATTGATGTTAGTCTGATCCTACTCTTCCATACAAACTGGATTTCCGCTGGAAGAGTCAAAATTGTGTCATAAATAAGCAGAACTGTGATGCCCGTCTATATAGTGCGGTAAACAACTGCGACTGCTTGTAGACGGACCTAGTGCTGTGATATCGGTGTAAGTGTTAAGGTTACTTGAAACCTACAGTCAGCGTTGTGTGATGACACGGCCAAAGGTAAGTAGTTACTGTGAAATTGCTTTTTGAATAGCCGCTCTCTGAAGAGATTCCATGTAAGATAATGATAAGTATCAAGGCTGGGTAGCTCTTAGCTGCTCAAGAAATTAAATTAGCAGGATTCACGGTGCACTATAGGTAGTTGACTGCAGGTGCTCAATAAGAAGCAACTCTAGCCAGTCTGTCCCTCCGGGGCTGCCGTCTCCTAACTGCCATCTTCCATCTGTTATCTACTGTCTTCCATCTGTGGCAGATCAATGTAATCTACAGGAATCATTAAACATGCTGATGTCACGTGTTTTGTTGGACCGACTTTGCACACATTTGTGGAGTCGAGTTGTAACCGTGGTAAAGCTGCCTGTACACATCCCCGGCACGCCGGCACCTATTGGTCCGTACGCTCGCATTCGCGCCGCTGCCCCGAACGACTTCAATGGGGACCGCTCTTCTGGGAGGGCATTTCTCACTAACTGTACCCTCTATTTCTCCCTCTGTGCTGCTCAATTCCCAAACAAGCAGGCCCATATACATTGGGCCCTCTCCTACATGAAAACAGGCTGAGCTGCTGCCTTTGCACAGCATGTTGTTAGTGCCCAAGCTTTGGGAGCTCCCCTATTTAGCTCATGGGGAGACTTTGAACATGAGTTCAGATTGCGCTTCTGCCCTCAGGATGAGGAGATGGTGGCCCTCACCAAGTTAGAGGGAACTGGCTACTTCCAAGGCTGCCATCTTGTTGATGATTACATCAACCAGTTCAAAGAACTGATTACTCAAGCAAGGTACATGGAAGGGTGAGCAATTGTCATGAAATTCAGAAGAGGCCTAGACAAGCATTTTCAGGACTGCATTGCTGAGCTGGGCTCTGACTGCCCCTCCAATGAAGATCTCCTGGCCTGGTATGAGGCAGAACATCACTTTGACACTAACTTGGCAGCTAACCAAGCATTCAACACTTCAGGGTGCTCTTCAGTGCCATCAGGTCCTCCTCTGCATTGTCCTATTCCTGCTCTGAGCAGACCTGCACCAGTGCCAGCCTCTGTCTATGCACCACCTCCAGGCCTTGTGAAGGGTATGCATATATGCATAATTGGACAGTGGATTAATATGCATATTATAGTACTTTATTATCTAGTTTCTATTCCTTTTCTTTAATTCTCTATATCCTTCAAGCATACCCGTATTTCTTAGTTCGAAGTCTTGTGTATACCTATTGGCGCTCTTGGCGCCAAAAGACAGACATCTTTTTACCCAGCAGACACCACCTCGTAAATGACCCAGACGTCGAATAGCGAGAGGTGTCAAGGGTAACGTCTCAACTACCTATAAAGGTAGTGTTTTCTTGCATACTAACAGACTTTGAACTCGAACCGCGAAGATCGAGTTCCACTCTAAGGTCTTTGCACTCATCGACACTATAGTCGACTCGCGCTACTATCTCCTTACTTTAGATATTCAGCCTCTCGTTGATTATCTATTTTACGTCTAGCTACAAGTTTTACCATAAAGGTCAACTCTTTCATTC